AAACAATTGTCATATCATTACTAAATCTGATGATTATTTACATTGTTTTTGGCCTAAATGTCAATACAAGACCAATAAAATGTGTAATTTAACTCGACATCAATCAATTCATTCAGAAATAATACAAATTAAATGTGATTTTAATAATTGTAATAAAGAATTTCTACAAAATGAAAGTTTAATTTTACACAAAAATGCTGTTCATTTAAATATGAGATTTATTTGTGATCTCAATGAATGCCACAAATGTTTTACATCAAAACAACAATTATTTTGACACAAAAGTTGTGTTCATTTTAATGAAAAGAAATTCAAATGTAATGAAGAAAATTGTGGCAAAAAATTTACAACAAAACGAACACTTATTCAACACAAAAACATACATTCGGGAGAAAAACCATTTAATTGCGAATTCAAAAATTGTAACAAAAGTTTCAAACACAGGGCTGCTTTATGGCGACATAAACAGAGATGTCATTTAAATATCATAAAAAAATTCAAATGCACTTCAAGTGATTGCGAGAAAACTTTTGGACACAAATATGAATTAATAAATCATACAAAACGTATTCATTTAAATGATAAGCCATTCAAATGTATTGAATATAATTGTCACAAATCATATGCAGTTAAAGGCGGGTTAGCTCTGCATTTAAAGAAGTATCATAAAATCAAATGATATTTCAACGTTAATCATAATTAATTTAAAATATGTTTTGATTATTTTACCACTTTGTAATTAGTTGGTATATTTTTGCATAAATAATTGTATGTATTGCCATTAAAGTGTAATAAATGAATGACAATTAGCGGCTATTTTAATCACTATGTTTTATGATGTTACAAAACATATTATTGTAAGGTCTAAATAAAATACAGCTAATTATAAAAATTGTGAATTATATACCATTTCTCCAACATTTCTCACAAGGATTATATAAATCATTGCTGATTTAGAATCAAATTTAATTCAGTTGTACGTATAGATTGGACCAAATAAAAAAATATAAATTCAATATCTCGGGCTGATAGCCACAAACGACCGAGATATGACCATTTTCGTGATTAGGCGCATACAGCATAAATCAATGCAGTACTGGTGATTAGCCCAAGCATTGTGTGGAACACCTTTTTTCAATGCTATACAGACGGGATTACTAGAATGGTCATATCTCGGTCGTTTGTGGCTATCAACCCGAGATATTGAATTTATATTTTTTTATTTGGTTCAATTTATACGTACAACTAAATTAAATTTGATTTTAAATCAGCAATGATTTATATAATCCTCGTCAGAGTGGATAGAATCGGGTAAATGCAAGTATTTTAGAATAACTTATATTATAATCATTTTTGAAAATTCAAATATAAGGTAACCATATAATGAAAGTGGTGGATTGTTTTGAATTGATGAATTTACTTAAATCAAAATTATGTGTAAAACTGTGTTCAATTATTTTACAAGTTCTCAATCGCTCTTTCAATGACACTCTGGCCATAAATGACTTATAAGTTATAGCATAGTATAAAAATGGTAAGTAATCAATAATTTATATTTTAAAAAATCAAATCTATGTTATATTAATTTTAATTAATAAAGTACTTAATAAGTACATTAAAGACAAAGTACCTAATGTACCTATTTAACCTTGAACACTATTATAACATCTATCGTATTTTCTAATTAACAAAAGGTTTTAATGATAATAATTTTCTAAAGTTAATTTATACACTTTACTGCAATAATACACCTAGTTCAAATCACTTAAGATCAGAGAATAATAATTTTTCTCCCTGTTTTAACTATGTTACCAGTTGTAAATATACAATTATTTTATTTACATTTTTATAATTCACTCACATGGTTTACTTTACAATAACTTATCAAACTTAACACAAATAACTTATTAAAAAACACTATTTGTAAAGTACATGACCAGTAAATTATTTTAATCAATATAAAAGTAATATTTTCCCAATAATAATAATTCAAGTGTTTGATACTTAATTCAGTATTAATTTTTTTTAATCTATAATTAGATTATTATTTAATATAAAGCACTTGAAATAAACGCTTATATTAAATAGAGCAAGTTCACTATAAAGTATATAAATAATTGAACAATAGAACTAATTAATAAACGATAATTTTATTATATTATTGTAAATATTAATAAATAATAGTATCATATAAACTAAAATGTGGAGCAAAATGAAAAATAGTTTACAAATATTTTTTGTATTAATTATTTGCGTTGAATTCATTGCATGTATTGATGTAAAGACCACATCGGGTGTAGTGAGGGGTCAGACTATAGATGTGTTGGGCGTAAGTATTGACCAGTTTTTGGGTATACCTTATGCCGAACCACCCGTCGGGAGACTCCGGTTCGCCAAACCTGAACCCATCAAAACACCCAAACCGGTAAAAATAGTAAACATATTATAATAAATATGTTATTTAAAATAAAACTAATAATAATTATGGTTTAGGACATTATCGATGCGACAAAACCTAAAAACGCGTGCATTCAAAACGTGTCACCTCTCGCACCAAATATAACCCTAAGTGAAGACTGTTTGGTATTAAACATATGGACACCAAATGCGGGCAATAATAACACAAACAAATCACAGCTCAAACCCATTATGTTTCACATACACGGCGGAGGTTTAGCGTCGGGTTCAATATTTCTTGGACTGGATAGTAATGTGTTGGCCACACGAGGTGTGGTTTACGCCTCAGCAGCTTATAGATTAGGACAGTTGGGCTTTCTATACGGGGATCGGGAGGACGCTCCCGGAAATGTGGGCTTTTATGACCAGTTATTGGCTCTCAAATGGGTATAAATTTATTACTTGTATTATAAATGGTTGAAACTATATATGAATTTATAAAAATAATAATAGGTTAGAGAAAATGCTGAACAGTTCGGCGGAGATAGGGATCAGATCACGATATTGGGTGAGAGCGCCGGGAGTTGGTCGGTGTCCGCACACATACTCTCCCCGCTATCCAAAGGCCTATTCAAGAGGGCTATTATGGAGAGCGGCGCCCATATGTATAACAAGGAT